GCGTGCGCGATGCGGCCGGCCGGGCGGGGAGGGCGAGGCGCTGAATTTCATCTGCAATTTCATTGTCCAGTCACTCAGTGTCTGCCGTTCCTCACAGTCAGATCTCACCTTTCTACCAAGAATTTACTAACCCAAGCTGATGTCCCCAGTAAATATGGCCCAGCACAAAATAAAATACCATTGCCGTTCTAAGGAGATGCATTTTAAAACCCAGTCCACTTACATGCAGGTTTAATAATGAGCACTCTGTTGATGCTAATAAAACAAGTAATTGTATCTAGAGCTAAGCATGAAATAGTAATAGCTGAAGAACAAGGATTTTTCTAGAGAGACTGTAATCTCAGAATTCCAAAATATCAGAAAAATATGTGTTAAAAAATCTGGATTATATTTATTTGTCTTGGGAAACAAATGGAAAAGTCAGTGAGCTATGCTTTCCTTTTTCCCCCTGAAAAAATAATTAGCTTAACAATTAGTTTAAAGATAAACATCTGCTTAATTGCTTTACACTATTACGGCTTATATTATTAGTGAACTTTTTGCAAAAGCTAGATTATCATACAACATGTCACGTATATATGCTTCTATGCATGCACACACACGTGAAAGCATTATATATATAGGACAAAGATGACACAGACTAAAGCTTTTTATTGATCTTGCCTATAATTTATTTATACTTTCATAAAGATTTTCTATTCTATTTTTAAGATTATTCCCTCTTGGGATATGTTTCATTTGGAAAAAAAAGAAATGTAATATTAATATATTGTAATACTTCTTTAGTGGTAATACATTTTAAACTTGACAAGAAAATAATATCAAATTCTGATATACTGGGCAAAATATTGGAAACTTGTAATATCACATGCTTCTGCTACTGTTCTTTCTTTTCTTCCAATAGCTAAAGAAACTAGTGGAATTACTTTTCTAAATAAGCAGAATACTATTGCATATAGGTAACTAAATGAACAATAAATCCCACACAATTTTTCTGTAAACTTTACTGGCCATGAACTGAATTCCTTACGGTCTATCCCACCTGCAGCTGTAGGCTATTCTGGGATACTGTAATCTCTTTTCTTCCTTTTGAAGCTGCAGAGAGTAGAAATAGATTGAGTTACAGATTTTTACTACATTGAGAAAAAGAGAAATAATCTGGAAAAGAGATACTGATTTAACACCCGCTGGAGTTACTAGAAGAACTTTCACCGACTTGTAGTTAGTGTGACACATACAAAGGTTAATATTCTGGAGAACCGAGGCCGTCATCTTCTTCATAACACAGGGGATGACCTATATAAAACCCTCCAGTTTAAGAATTTCATACCAAGCTATATTTTTATCATGTTTATCAACAAGTTCTAGAATTTTGCTGTTTATTGCTTGTATACCAGTATGCCTAAGTAAAAGATAACTCCACTCAGTGTGCAAGGTTTCACTTTGGGTCACTTGGAACACAAGGAGCAAATGGGAGCTGTGTTCAGTGTTCAAGTGCTGTAGATGTCATTTTCCAGGCTCGTGACAGTTTGGTTTAATAAGTGATAATTCCTCCAGCGGGCTAAATTATTCTCTTGAGTCACCTTGCTGAGTCACTCTGATATCTTGAGAAGCAAGTTTCTCCTGAAGTTATATTGTTCAGTCAGAAGTTGTTGAAGTGCTATAATATCTAATTTTTACAAGACTGAGAGTCTGAACCAATAATTTTGAAAGAATTGAGGAGGACTCTCACTAGCTGTGATATATACTAATTCAGAACAGCATTTCTTTATACACAGAGTTCTTCTGAGACAAAGACCCACCCTCTAAACCCAGCCTCGTCAAAAAAGAAACAAAACAAAATGACAGCAACCTTCACCATATCTAATAAACTATTCAACGCCTGGAAAGAAAAAGAGTGAAAAACATGAGATTTTATGCCTTTGCATTTACTGCTAGACAGAACATAGTTACAGGAACAGAACTTCAAAAAAGACAGTGCAGAAAGTTCACAAGCTCATCGTTAGCTGAAGGATTTTTTCACCTTGAAATCACTTTAGGAGAATGTATTTCTGAATGCCTTCAGCTTTTAATTAAATATTTATGTGTAGTAGGATGAAGTGAAATTAGTATTTGTAATACAAAATTATACATCCTAGTTAGATATAAAATATAGATGTTATATTTTAAGATGAAAATGTCATATAATTTTTGTTTTATTTTTATTTCCTTTTTAACATTTATTTCTTTAGATAAATGGGGCTAGAACTTCACCTGCTGAAGTTCCAAACAGCATATCAAGCATGTACAGGAACTGACAGTTTTGCTCTAATCTTTTATGACACTGAAAGACCTCTCAAATCACTAATTTATTATTAACAATCAGCTAGCCATGAAGTAAATCTCCCTTCTCTATCAGTATCCTGGAAGAGTATTGGGGTAGTCCTCTCAGTATCATTCCCAGAAGCATAGTTGCCATCTCTAGCGTTTGATTCTCTTCTAGTTGGGCTGTGGTGAACAGGAAATTCAGCATGTGGTGTCTGAAGCTCATACAATCTTGACATCCCACATTTGAGAGGTGTCATAAGCTTCATTTCTGATAACACTTGACTGTTAATTCAAAACCCTTAGCTACTCAGTTCAAATCCTAAAAGCTTTGTAATTCCTGCCAAATATATTCTTCTCCCTAAGTTAAAACTGTAACTTTTTATTGGTCAGACTTTGCTTGCTCCAGCGTAAATGAAGCAATGCTTCTAAAATTTAAATGCACTATATTTTAGAGGCATATCACTTGCACTTAGACTTAGGTCAATATATTTTTCTCTTCAAAACCTAATCTTCCCTGGAAAGTTTTACATTTCATTCATCATTACTTAATTTAGATGAAATAAACTATCAGAGTAGAGCTTTTTTGCTTTAACAAATCTTTCTAGCTTGCCGTGAACATAACTGGATTAATCCTGCCGAAACCTAAAGAACATTCTTGCTAGTTTATTGGCTTATTCACTTTGGGTGCATTAGTTTTTGGGCTAGGGGAGTGACTGCATTTTTCAGGCTTTTCTCTATAAAAGTCTGAAAAGTCTGTAAAAGCCCTCTATAGACTTTTCTCTATAAAATTCTTTGACACTGTTTAAATACTGTGTTATTTTTAACGATAAATCATCTGTTTGTTACACAAATAGGTATTAAGATAGATATCATTTTCTTTCTGAATACGTCATAGACAAGAGGAGCAAGGTTCCAGAGAAGTGAGTGCAGTCTTGTGATATGTTGGCATTTGTAATTGGAAGCTGTTAGAAGCAGTGAAAATCGGTCAATGATAATTTGGAAGAAGAAGTTCGTCTTCACTGCTTGTTTTCCATAAGGGGAGGATTTCTTTAGATAGCACAATTTTTAGGAAAAAATACTAATTTATTACTCTGTAGCGACCGATGCTTTCAAACGTGAGGTCATAATTTTTTCTTCAGGAGAAAGAGCTTACGTCTCAGTCCTAAACATGCTTATATGTATTCTTCAAAAACAGGGTGCTCAAAAAGGTGTTGGAACATGGAATGAATCCTGCTTTATGATAATTCACATCCATATTTATTTATTAGGATCAGTCTATATGTCTTTTAAATTCTTGATACAGTAAATAGGATTTCTCGGATATGCTTATGAGTATTATTTTTCTCTTT